AAACTTTAGAAAACAAAACTTCAAGACCACGGCCACACAGCCCGGAAGACCCACACCAGCCATCGTATGCCGGCCGTGAAAGCCTTCGACAATACTTAGAATTTATATTTTTTTACACCTACTGTACAGTGGAGTGACATTTTCATTGAGCTATCCATCATGATTCCAAAATCCCTTTCTTGCTCAATCACTGACAGTTTAGATCCCATTAATATATGTGAAGTGTATGGGTTCTATGACAGTTTGCATCACTTTGCATTTGCTTGCACTGAATTATATACAGCTTACACCTAGAGTAGTTACATAACCACATGTAAGTTTTTAATGGCTATTTTTATGATAACCTCTAAGACTCCCAGATCTGTTAAGGGAGTTGGGAGCATATATTTTTTATAAATAAATAATTAACTTTTGGGGCCATCATCCAGTTTGGAGAGATCTTTTGGAGCATTTTGAAATCTTTTTTGGATGTTATTGTCCTAAATAGTTGGGCATCGTCAGCTGTTTCCCTCTTACTTCATATAATTTATGAACAAATTAAAAAGTCCTTGTCCCAACACAACCCTGAGAATATCCTCAATTTGAAATCTGTGCCAACTCTTTCTTGTTCTATAGCCTGTTTTCAGACTAGAGAATGTCTTCCTTCTTATTCCATTGCTGCTGAATTTGTTTAGGAGTGTTTGGTGAAAGTTTGTCAAACAATTTTGGAAGGACAAATATGCAGTGTTATAGGATCGCTTCTGCCTTTATCCTTCCTAATACCCTCAAAAATGACAACACGCTTAATGGTACAAACCATTAAGAAGCTTATTTGATTATAAAGCTGAGGTAGAATGAGCTTTTTAAACTGCTTAATTTTTAATGCATTTTTTCTTGTATCTTCATTTTGTTCAATGCAGAACATCTCAAAAAGAGCTTGGAGGATTATATGGCCCAGTTTCCAAAAGTTAGGATTCTCCGAACTAAGAAGAGAGAAGGACTAATAAGAACTCGAATGCTCGGGGCTTCTGCAGCAATAGGAGACGTTATTACCTTCTTAGACTCCCACTGTGAGGCAAATGTGAACTGGTTGCCACCCCTTCTAGGTAAGAAGACTATTTGAAGTGTATTTCTGAATGATCAGATGCAGATGCTGAGCCTTTCTGAACAACCAGAGTATGACATTATCCAAATCTTCCAGTGGCAGAGTAAGATATATTTGAATTAACATTAGAATATCCACATATTTGTTATTCTGGCATTCATATTAACATGTTCTTCCTAATTCTGGGGATGAGGAATTACCAGGATAATCAATTATTTCCTTTGCCCTCATCTGTAGGTTGCTCTTCAGTTGCATCTATTTTTCAGATTTATTTATTTAATTATTCAATTTATATAGCCAAAATCAAAAAATAGAACAGCCATACAAACAATACAAATGTAAAAACAATTAAAATCCATACAGTACAATCACTGGGAAAGCCCAGCCGTTCAAGAACAGTACAGCCATTTTATGGGCTCCATACCCCTCACTGATCCTCAGGCCAGATGGCAAAGCCAGATCTTTAGGCCCTTCCAGAATCCAATCTGACCTCAAGGGGAATGATGTTCCATAGGGCACGTGCAGCAGCAGAAAAGGTCCTCCTCCTGGGTCCCACCAGATTACACTCTATAGTGGATGGGTAATCTGCAACAAGTCTCTTCTGCTAGACCTGATGGGATGGGTGGATGACACTGGGGAGAGGTGGTCTCTCAAATAACTCGGCCCCATTTCCATGTAGGGCTTTATAGGTTATCACTAGTACCCTGAACTGGATTCAGAAGCAAATTGTTAACCGAAGGAGCTTGCAGAGCATATGTGTAATGTGCACAGATCTAGGTGCACACATAACTGCCTGCACCACTGCATTAGCACCAACTGAAGCTTCTGAATACTCTTCAAAGGCAGCCCCATGTAGAGCACATTACAGTAATCCATATGGGAGGTGACCAGGGCATGAGTTACTGAGCGTAGAGCTTCCTGATCAGGCAGGGGCGCAACTTGAAGCTGTGCAAAGGCCCTCTAGCCATGACTGCCACCTGCCCTTTGAGCAGGAGTCATGAGTCCAGAAGAACCCCCAGTTTATGTACTGGGTCTGTCTGGGGAAGTACGACCCCATCCAGAACCAAATACAATAAATTCCTAGATCCAGGTGGTCCCAAATCCCATAGCCATTCATTCTTGCCAGGGTTGAGCTGAAGCCTGTTGTTCCCCATCCAAACTCCTACAGCCTGCAGACACTGAGACAGGACATTGGCAGCATAGCTTACTTCATAAGGGGTGGAGATATATACCCGGGTATAATCAGCATGTTACAGATGACCTCACCCAGTGGCTTCATGTGGATGTTAAACAGGAGCAGAGAGAATACTGCAGCAGCCCACAATTTAGGAGCCAAGGGTGGGACCTTTTGCCCCCAATCAACATAGACTGAAATTGAAAGCAATCATGCCAGCAGCAGGAAAGGGCCAGGCAAAGGAGAGATTGCCTGCAGAAATTGTTTGCTTTTTTTCTCCCCCCTCCCCAGAATAGAGAGATTGAAAGGAAGAGATTTCAAAAGAGTACTATAAGCTATTTGCATAGCACGCCCACAGCTCCCAGGCCCAGGCTGATGGCATGGTGGCATTGCTTTCAATGTATAGAAGTACAAACAGCTTACTCTCTTGCAATCCCTTCCTCTCCAATCTTTCTGCTCTGCAAAGGGGGGGGAAGGAAAAAGGTCAGGCACATAACAATGTGTATTGACTGTAATGGTGATCATGTGACTGAGGGACGCTGTGAAGTTTGTAAATTGGCCGTACAGGTAATCTTTGATGTACAACAGCAATTGGGACCAGAATTTCCATCACTAAGCGATGCGGTTGTAAAGCGTGACTGCATCACTTAGCAACAGCAATTCCTGCAGTCATGGTTGCCACTGTTAACTGAATCCCATGGTTAGGCGAGGCAACTTCCTGCCAATTTCCCACAACCAAAGTCAGTGGGGACCACTGGGGGAAGCCAGCTGGAGGTTGCAAGTCCCAGGCCCGCAGGTAGGTAAGTGGCTGCTGCTGGGTCAGGGAGAGACCACAGGGGTGTGCGAGGGAGAGTTGGGGAGGATGCAAGGGGGTCTGTGAGAGGTGCTGTGCAGGTTGGGGAGGGTGCAAGGGGATGGGCAAAAGGCACTGCGCTGGTTGGGGAGGGTTGGGGAGAAGGGACGAGGGAGGCATGAGGAGGGTATGTGTGTGTGTGCAAGTGGCTGGCGTGGCATGGCATGAGCGCAGAGGGGCTGGGGGAGGGTGTGCGGGTGGGGGAAACCTACTCCAGCAGCTTGTGACCTTCCCTGCCGGCTTCCCCATTGACTTTCTGGCAGGGAAGGTTGCAAATGGTGATCACATGATTGTGGGCTGCTTGGCAACCAGTCATAAGTGCAAACAGGTTGCCAAACACCCAGATTGTGATCACAAGACCGTGGGGGTGCTGGGACAGCCAGAACTCCAAGGACTGGTCATAACCACCAGTGCCATCATAACTTTGAACAGTCACTGAACAAATGGTCATAAATCAAGGACTACCTGTAAAGTTATTTTTTCAGCACCATTGTAACTTTGATGGTTGCTGAACGAGTAGTTAAGGATTACATGGAATTCTGTCTTTAAGATTTGGTAAGATTTTCATTACAGGTAGTCCTCACCAACCACTCATTGAGAGACTGTTCAAAGTTAAAACAGCGCTGAAAAATTAGACTTATGGCTGGTCCTCAAAGTTGCAGCCATTGCAGCATCCCCATGGTCACGTGATGACAATTTGGGCGCTTGGCAACCAGCGGGCATTTACGATGGTTACAGCGTCCTGCAGTCAAGTGATTGCCATTTGCGACCTTCACAGTGGGCTTCGGACAAGCAAAGTCAATGGGGAAGCTGGCAGGAAATCGCAAGTCACAGTCGCATGACATTGCACTTAATGACCTGTGGTGATTCGCTTAACGACCACAGCTGGAACTGACATAGTAAGTTGGCACAGTCATGTCATGTTGCACTTAATGACCACGCTGCTTAGTGACAGAGTTGCTGGTCCCAATTGAAGTCAGTAAGTGAAGACTACCTGGTACAGTTACACTAGTAATATGCCACTCTTTTAAAACAGCAACTAGAAGCATTTAGTATGCTGATATTTGAGTGGGGTTCCCAACTTTGCAGAGCTGGTGAGCGTATTTGAAATTCTTAGTGCATAGTATGGACACTCTCACAAAATGCCTGCTGTGGTGAGCACAGTTAATCACAAACATTTGTTGATCAGAAGGTAAAGTGATAAATTTGCTTCCTATTATCCTCTCTCACCTCCCAGGATATTTTCTACCACTTTAACATACTTTTATCTTTTTTTTTCCTGAGTAGAGAGGCACATTTTCAAAGAGAACTCTCTGTTGCAGCTGCCTTCAGGGTATATGGGGGCCCAGAGTATTAGTTGAAATAAAAATTATGCTTGAGATTGACATTTTGACTTGAAACATGTTAGCTTTTTCATTTAATTAAAGTAATCTTAAAAAATGAAATTGCAAAGGCCTGAAGTCTGGCAGGTATCTAAGGAGGCACGTATGGGTATATTGGGAAGCCTCTTGATTAATGAAAGGACACTTGTTAGTGTTAAAGGCTGCTTTTCCAAGCACAATATACATAGATAGTATTGCACTTTCCCTCTACCACTGGTAATGATCAAACAACTTTGGCTATAGTCATGTTATACAGGTAGTCCTCAGTTAACAACCACTCCTTCAGAGACCATTCGAAGTTACAATGGCACTGAATGAGTGGTACCTACTACTGATCCTTGAAGTTCTGGCCGTCCCAGCACCCCTGCGGTCACATGATTGTGATTCAGGCACTTGGCAACTGGCTCACACTTATGATGGTTGCAGCATCCCACAGTCATGTGATCGCCATTTGCAACATTCCATGCCAGCTTCCCCAAACCAAAGTCAATGGGGAAGCCAGCAGGGAAGGTCACAAGTCACTCTGGTAAATCTTCCACAACTGGTAGTAGCCACCCACATCCTGCCATGCCAGCCCCTCGTGTGGCCTCCCCCACCCTGCAGCAGTCACCCCAAGCCCCACTGCACTCACGCTGCACCCACCCCTCCCATGCCCTCCTGCATCCTGCAGCAGCCACCCCAAGCTGCGCCATGCTCACACCATGCCACACCTGCCGCTTGCACACTATCACGTGCCTTCCCGCACCCTGCAGCAGCCACCCCAACCTGCGCCATGCTCACACCATGCCACACCTGCCGCTTGCACACTATCACGTGCCTTCCCGCACCCTGCAGCAGCCACCCCAATCGCCATGGTGCTCAAGCTGCACCTGCCCCCCATGGTCTCCCACATCCTGAGGCAGCCACCCCAAACCCCACTGTGCTCACACCATGCCACTCCTGCCCCTCATGAACCCTTGTGCACCCTCCCCCACTCTGCAGCAGCCACCCAAGCCCTGCTGTACTCGCACCACACCCGTCCCTCACACGCCCTAGAGCAGCCACACCAAACCCTGCTGCACTCGTGCCAGCCACCCACCCAGCAGCAGCCATTTACCTGCTTGCCAGCTCACTTGCAAGCTTCCTGGGACTTGCAACTTCCTGCTGGCTTCCCCACTGACTTTGGTTCTTGGAAGCCATCAGGAAGTTGCAAAGAAATCCTTGGTTAACAACCCACAAACCTCACTTAACAACAGCAACAGGGACTGCCAGGATTGCCATCGCTAAACGATGTGGTCACCTGATGTCACACTTTACAATCGCATCACTTAGTGATGGAAATTCTAGTCCCAATTATCGTCGTTAACCGAGGATTACCTATATTAGTTCTGAGATTTTTTTTATGTTCAACTGTAGGTGTATTGTTTTGTTACAAATGAAAGGAAGTATAAAGTATGACTTTTTTTTTCATTCCCCAGACCGCATTGCTCGAAATCGCAAAACTATTGTTTGTCCAATGATTGATGTAATTGATCATGACCATTTTGGCTATGAAACACAAGCTGGAGATGCAATGCGAGGAGCATTTGACTGGGAGATGTATTATAAGCGGATCCCAATTCCTCCTGAATTACTGAAACTTGATCCCAGTGACCCTTTTGAGTAAGTTCATGAAACAAAGTGAATAGTTGCTTAACAAGCTATGCAGTTGGTAGGTTTTCAGACAGATATAATCGTTAGATATTCTTTCTTCCCTCTCCCCCAAAAAAGAAAGGAAACCAACAAAGATAAATTACAAATGGACAAACTAAATCATATATCACAGATTACTGTTCCTTAAAATATCTTCCCCCTCCTTTCATCAAATCATCTGTTTTCAAATTGATTTCTCTTTGTTTCTATATAGTTGGCACAAGTTTATCTTGGACTTGTAGCATAGCCTTTTCTGTAGCTGCCTCAGATTTTTTGGATATATTCTTTACAGAGTTAAGGGGATTGTTAGCTTTTTAAAGGCCTTAAAACATGGTTTTTTAAAATAAGCTTTTTACTGTTGAATTTAATTTATTCTGCCTCCCTCTGCTATAGAATAAAGCTGGGCCACCTTTTTTGGACTGAGCTCTGCTTCTTTCTGCCCTGCCTGGAAATCACAAGGGCCATATATGGCGACATTAGGATGTTGGAAAGGGTGGGGCCAAAATGTAAGGCTTGGTCAGGTTTTAAGGGGCAGGTCAAGTTAATGCCCCCAAGGGCCCATAAAAGAAAAAGAGCCTGAAAGGTTCGCCCTCACCCCTTCAAGGAGAGGTTGGGGGTGCACATGCACAAGCTGCCAACCCTGTTATAAAGATGCCTTCATCTCATTTCCAAAATCGCCTTTCTCTGACCCCATGCTGTAGTTCTCTCTGCTCAAGATTTCTGGAAACTACCAGGGGAGGAGATAACAAAGGAATTATCTGTCATAAAATACTGCTGGCAAACGTTAAATACAGAGCATACTAATGAATTCTCAATATTGTCTTTAAAAATTATTTTAAATTCACATGGTGGATATAAATGTTGATGGATAACTGGTAAAATTCATTTTAAGAAAACAATAAAAATCCAAAGCTTGCAAGGCAAATATTATTGAATCTCTGTGTTCACGTACACATGCTCTCACATCTAAGTGAAATAACCTATTTTTTAAAGTTATATAGAAACCTTAAATTGATCATCAGTCTTCCAAGACAGTTTCCCACTCTCTAAGGAATCTGAGATGAGGAAACAAAACAACCATTCTTCTTAGAATTTGATCACTGCTATTGCTTCAGAAATGTGTATCATCAGTTTCAGAAGAGAAAATCAGTTTGTCACCCTCAGTACTTAAACCTCTTTGGCTGCAATAGGTTGCCATCAACTCATTTTTCACTATTCAGAACTCTTAGAAATTTCCAGAACTTCCAGCTGACAATCACTGTGATTATTAACAGGAGTGGTCTCTGTCTTTTGCAACATTATTTCCGTTGTCCGTTGTCATCCCCTCAGTTATTGGGATGAAGATTACACACTCTACTAAGTATGATGGCAGATGGGAATTTGAAAGTCTGAATCAAAAAGACTGTCACTGTTATTATTCCTTCTTGTACTATAGTCAAGAATGTATCCCAGTCAAGAATGTACATTTGTGATAGGTGCTGTTGGCTTGTGTTTCATACTACTTGGTCTTCAGGCACAGATGTTTACAGCAACAATTCTTCTATTTCCATTGATCTGAGTTTTATATTTACACCTACAGTCTGTGTCCTTATAAGAGGGAATTTTTAAAAAACAAATGTTTAATATTGTTTGCTGAGGACAGGGTTACACAACTACTATCCAAAATATTAAAATACAGTGATCTCAGGTCCCATATATAAACAATGTTAGAAGTAAAATTTAGGTTTTATTTTATTACATAAAATAGACATAAACATAAAATATATTAATGCCTACAGTTTTACCTCTACAATTGTTTAATTGCCAGTTATGTTGTCATCTACTTCATTTTCCAATATTGTTGCAGTTCCAACTATTGTGTCAGCAAATTCTGTGTGCTAAGAGGTGACCAACAGTTCACACACATTATAATATGTTTATATATAACACACTTTATATATTATGTGTATATATAATTACTGTATAATAAATTTGAACTGGATCTAGCTGTTAGATTTCTTCCTAAAGGGATTTTTGTTTTCCTTGTGAAACTATTGTTCTTCCAGTAATGCTCTCTTCTCCATTTATTAAGTCCCTTCATTCTCTGGAAGTTCAGGGTGCCCTAATTTTCTATATTCAGAGGATAGCAGCCCTTTAGCAGACTCATTGCCTGCTTGTCTGCTTTAAGAGTTCATGGTCTTGCCATTCTGTCGTCTGTTTTGTGTCTGCTACATTGTGTACTTGGCTTATCAGCTGGCATAATTGCCTTCTCTTCTATCAGTGAATAGCTACTTAGTTATACCAGTTTTCTGAGGGATCTCTCAAAACTATGTGAGCTGCTGTCTAGGTCAGCAGCCCTTGGCCTGGTTTGAATTAACATTGGAGGAGATCACTTCAAGCTTCTGATAATATTATCCTTTCCCTGCATAAAGCTGTTAAGGACAAAAAACAAAAAAAGTGGGGACAAAAAAAGAACAATATAGATTAACACTAAGGGACCTTTTTCTCTATAGAAAATATTTCTGAATACTAGTTTCTCTAGGTGTGCACCTGTGCAGCGCTTGTTCAACAACTTCTGGAGCTTAAAGAATTCTTGATTACAGTCCCCCTCTCCTTGCATACTTCGTGCGACTGGTCCTTCTAAGTTTGTTTTCAACTGTCATTTCAATAACATTTTTATTTTATTTGTTTATTGTATTTATATAGCTGCCCATCTCACATAAAAGTGACTCTGGGTGGAATACAGCAATTAAAAAGAATAAATACATAAAAACAATTACAAGTTTATAAATAAACATGTTCATTCTCTAAAGTTTTTTTTTTCTTTCCTTCAATTTATCTGTTTTAATTTGTTTTGTTTTAGATGTTTTTACATATGTGTTTTCCCCTACCTCGAGAGTTTCAGATGAAATGTCACTGTCCCTTTTCTTATAAGTCTTTTGGCCTCAGCTCTATAGTCCTAAAGGCCCCATTCCACAAGTAGTAAGTTAGCAAGAACAAATTTCCTTCCACAGATGGGTGCAGTCTTTATCTCTTCTGCCTTGGGAGGAAAATGATGCAATAGACTCTTGTAGGTGCTGCCAAACATTTACTGAACAGGCTTGCAAGAATCATTCATCCTATCTGTTAGCCCCTGTTTGGCAATCAAGCTCTTAACAGTAGCAGACTCCAGTAGTTCCATTAACTTCCTCCAAAGTTCCTCTCATGTTCCAGAAGTTGCTGTGGATTCTCTTGCTTCTTTATGAGTCATCTGAGAAATTCATCTCCAGCAGGAAATCCCCAGGCCTCTGCCAGGATGATATCTGCCCTGATAGAATGGTTCAATAAATGGCTTAGGTCTTCTTAAAAGCCTGTCATGTTGGATCCCAATTAGGCAAAAAGAAGAAAATGGATAATGGCCCTTTGGTCTCCCTGGCAACTATGGGTTCTTCTCCATGCCACTTTTCATCATCTTCAGTATTGCCAGTACCGCATGTGCTGGCCTCATCACTGCAGACCATTCAATCTCCCTCTCTGGGTTTTATTTTGGAGAGAGAGAATCATGAAAGATCTCTTCAAGACTTCTTCCAGCCATTTTTCTGCCAGACTGGGCCCTCTTTTCCCTTTTTCTGGCAAGTGGCAAGATTGAAACAAGTCCTCTCGCAACTATGCTATTTTGGGGAGTGATTCTCTCCAATTTCCATCAGTTCTGCCTTTTCCCACCAGCCTTCATTCTCCTCAAGAATTGATCACTGTGCTTTGCAGCATCAGCTTTCTCAGAATCTTAATCAGTTGGTAAGTAGTTCTTGTAGCAGCCTACCCTAATACATAGTGATCTTCTCCATATCCTTGTTATCTTCCTCTTCCTTGACACCACAGCTGTCTGCCTGACTATGAGCATGGTTTTTGGAACTTTCCCATAGCCAGCAACTTCTTACAGTGTTACTTTTGAATCCCCAGATGTTTTTGCTCTAGGCAGAAGCAGCAAAGTTTGTGAAATGAGAGCTTAATGTGGCTCACCACAGAGCTGATTTGGCATTTAAGGTTATGGCATCTTTTACTATCATTCATTCCCCTCTGTGGTTCTATTTCATTGGACTAGAGACCAAGACTAGGATCAAAAATCTCCCTTTACAAGAAAATACTTATTCAGTGCTAAGACATAATGGATCCTAAACACAATCCAGAAGTTAGTATACAAATAGGGCCTGCATCAACCTTACTTTAAACCTCTTGCACTTGTCCATATTTATGCTTCTCCCTTGACCTTTCAACTTTTGGTGGAGCTGATTCCATGGGGTCAGGCAGCAATGGAGAAGCACTGCTTTCAGATCCTCACCTTCCTCAGTTCCCAAGTTGGGTACCCAAAGCATTCACTCCTGAGTGGAGAAAACAGGCCAGCCAAAGACAACATGGAAGACATTGTCCCATAGATATTCTGGCCCTATTCCCTGTAGGATTTTATAAATTAAAGTAGCGCCTTGAATTGTACTCATAAACCTACAGAAAGCAAAGACAGTGCCAGCAATGTAAGTGTTATGCTGCTGAATTAACTCTCACCAGTCAGTGTGCAGGCAGCTGAATTTTGCACAATTAGTCTTTCCTGGAAGACTTCAAGGACAGGCCCAGTGTGTTTTATAAAGGCATGAGTAACTGCTGCCAGAGCTGCCTCTTCCCAAAATTGCAAACAAGTGCACCAGACACAGCTGGATAAAGATGCCACAGTCATTGCTTCCAAGTTGAGTTGTGAATCCAGGAGCCCCCCAACTGGAAGATCTGCTTCAAGGAGAGTCCAACCCTCTTCAAAGCCAGCAGAAATGCCCCCAATCAACACACAGTTGTTGGACAAACATCCAATCCATCTTGCCAAGATTCAGCCCCTTACAGTCTCTAGGCTAGCCTTTCTTAACTGGAGTTCTGTGGAATCCTAGAGTTCCATGACAGGTTGCTGGGGTTCTGCAAGAGATCATGACTGGAAAAAACAAACAAACTTCTTTTTAACCTCCCACATAGCGCAATGGTAGCGCTTGCAGTAGTGGGAATTCATAAGTGCCACAACTCAGCTGCCAGCTTTGCTGTTGTAAACATTGTAAAATGTGGATTGTGTAAGGTAGAAATGAACTGTATTTTGAAGCTTTTGTATTTTTTGCAGTTTTTATGCAGGGGTTCCCCAAGACCTGAAAATTATTTTAGCGGTTCCTCCAGGATAAAAAGTAGAGAAAGGCAGGCTTACCCACTCATCCCGCACCATTATAGTCTGGTACTTTTTACTCAGAAAGAAGTGGAAGCATTGCAGTGCAATATCACTTATTTCTAACCCTCAGAGGCATTCCAGGAGGATACCATGTTTAACAATATCAAAGGATGCAGAGAGATTTAGTAAGACACAGAGAGCTGCACTCATGCCATCCAAATCCCAGCAGAGGTCATCCGCAAGAGTGACCAATGCTATTTCCACCCAGTAACCAGATCTGAATCCAGACAGGAAGGAATCTAGATAGGCTAGATTATTCTTCAATAATCATGTATACATTCACAACATTCTCTCCTCCCCTTCCATCCCAGCTTAGATCCATGTGCATTCTTATGTGTGCCCTGGTTGTTACTGTACTGAGGGAGAGAGAAGCTTGGATTAGTACTTGCACAATAAAGAGGAGGAATTGTTTCCACTTAGATATCTGAGCTATAGAACTCTCCATGGGATTCTGTGAAGGAATCAGACCTTGTGAAGGTGAATGTTCAGACAAGACTATGCAAAGAATAAAAGTTGCAGATAAACAACCTGAGGTTCTGCTGGTTTCCATAATATAAATGATACTGTAAATCAAAGTGCCAAATAGCCAAAGTGGATGGTTAAAAAAATAGAAGTAAAATGTGATGTTAGAGCTGTACATGTAATTTTGGGGAGACTATACTTAAAAATTTGTAATTTGGAGCTTAATTTTTCTCTTAAGGTCTCCAGTTATGGCTGGAGGGCTGTTTGCAGTTGATAGAAAATGGTTCTGGGAGCTTGGAGGATATGATGCAGGTCTGGAAATATGGGGAGGAGAGCAGTATGAAATATCATTTAAGGTGAGTTGTTGAAAAGATATTGGATAATATTTTATAATACAGTATGATTTTGCATACTTTAAAAAAAAATCTTGTGTTTGTATTTATAAAATTATTGGAAATGAGAAGAATTTAAGCAATATTTCTTTAAAATATTTGCTAAAAAAATTAAAAATCTTACTAAGAATCTAATGCTTCTGTTGAGTTGCATAATGACCCCTAATTTATGGTGTCTGATTATTAATAATGTGAGAAGTAGATTTTTCTGAGACTAAATGTTTTACATAAACATCAGGCTAAATTAGTTAAGTGAACTGTCATTGTCATAATTTTAAATGCCAATTGAACTCTGGTTTGATTTAATACATGTAAGAATAGAATTTTAAGTACTCAGTCCCTGCTGAAAAAAAATAAAGCTGCTGACTTTTTTCCTTGTTTCTCAAGCCAAAGTATTAGTTATGTCTTAACACGGTGACCCAGCAGTATGTTATTTGGGTAATATATTTTAACGAAACATGGATAAGTGGTAAACACCTTAAATGCCTCCCATATGCTCTCTTGGCTCTTTTCACAGAGAGGTAAACTAGATTCATCTGCGACTGGTTTATAGTTAACTGTGTCATCCGAATTTGTGGCAATGCTTTTCTTACACATTATCTAACCATACATTGATCTACTACAACTCTTGAATATACTCTGGGTGTTTTATGGCAGTTGAAAATATTGTGACTTATAGCCAGGTAGCATAAAATACACTATTTTGTCCACACATGGAGAAGCCAGTGGACATGCACATGGATTAGTTGTGGCACATTTGCTATTTAACCTTTTTATGATTGAGCATGTTGTGTAAATATACTGAATCTGTAAAATATCATACTGATGTACTTTTACTATTAATTCAATGGTTTTAAAGCAGTAAGTGTTTGAGTCATCATGGAAATGAAGTAATATTCATACTATTACTTTAGTTTAGAGAACTTTTTCATGTATCACTGATCCACTGAGCTAGTAAAGAAAGGAAGGAAGGAAGACAGGCAGGCAGGCAGGCAGGCAGGCTAAGGTCTTAGTGTTATAAGGTCAAGCGAATGGTTAAATTCCTAAGACATTATACATTATAAGCTTTGGAAAGTAACCAATTAAATACTGGATAAATATTTCACTAATATTACTGAGATGGACTCGTCTGTATGATCTGTAAATTTACTTGTTTATAATTAACGAAATTACTCTTACCCTACTTAAAATATATTAGGTACTAAAAGGCTAATGTTTGGTTTAAATTTGCTTTCAGTCTGAGCTCTGAGAAAAGCTCTCAGAAAATTATTAGTATGTCTACTTTAATAATTCCTTTATCCATTTGAATGAGACAGTTTCAGTATGAATCCAACAGGAGACTAGCAAGAACACTGCACTGTAGATAATTCAGTCTTGCTAACAGCAAGATATATCTCCCTTGATGATTACAATTTCTTGTCTTCTGTTTTGTCTGAATAGTTTTTCTGAATATCAGCTACTTAATGTTGTTAGGATTCTATCATTCATTTGGCAATTAATATGTAATAAATGAAATGTTCTTCCCATTGTTTATCTTCAAAAAACTGAGTAATAAAGACATATTGGAGGTTTCTTGTTTCCCCTTTGGTTCCATTTATCCTTTTTACTATTGTGTATAAAGAAGTGGTGTAACAGTGTAATTCTCTGTGGGAGAGGGTACAAACAGTATTCATCGTTTCTAGTTGGACCTTTTCTAAAACAGTAGTTTCCAAGAGTGATGACAGTGACTGGGAAAGTTCTTTGTTTCTGAAATGCTGGAGCAGGTATTCATTGCTTGATCTCCAGGAAATAAAGCTACTTCATTCATTTGGCTACTTACACACTATATTTCAGAGAGTTTTATTTCATGCCAGAAAGGATAATTTATGGTGGGTTAAATTCACTCTAATTAATCCCAGCTAAGATCCTTTCTATTTCTCTTGCTTTGTGCAACAGAAAATGACATTTAACTGAAAGGGTATACTTTCAGAAATTATGATAAATTGATGCATTTAACTGTGGCTGATAGAAGTCATTATTTTGATGAAATTATAAGAATAACAGATTTGTTATGAATATCCAAAAAGACCCCTATTTTTTAAACTATGAAATGCCATCATCTTGTTTTAAGGAATCACTGACATATAAAATGACACAAAGAATTCTGTCTCTGAAGGAGATCCAAAAAATGTTTTATGTATTTTAAAGACCAAATTTGCAATGCATGTTTAGCCAAATTCTTCATTTGCCCCTAAATTCAGTAAAGTGAATTTAGGGGCAAAGTGATAATATCTCAATAAGACAACAACAAAATAGCTAGAATATTGAACATTAATAATAGCAGTGGTGATTCTGAGTCCTTGACTTTACTGAGAGATGAAAGGCTGATCAACTACAATAAAACAAAAGTAGCTTTACACTTACAGTATGGTTTTTAAGAGGATCTTAATGTTTATAAAAACTGTAAATCAGTCAGCGTATAAAGAAGGGGGAAGTTAGAAATTAAATCCTTATCTACTTTTTCCAAGCAGCTCTTTTTTTTTCTTTTTTTTCTCTCTCTTAATATTTATAAATAACAATAAATAACAATACAGTGGAGACTTTAATATAAAGTATTAAGCTCAAAGATTGAAACCTTTTTCATATTATAAAACAGTTCAGTGCAATTTGCAACTGTTTATCAGTGTCATACTTAGCATTAATTTCACAATTTCAGCAACCTTATGTTCATTACATTTTAGAAATCTTATTTAACATTAATACACACTTTTTCCTCATCTGTAAAGGTTTAATTTATCTAAACAATCACATTGTTAACATTTTCTAGTTTCTATTGTATAAATACCACTGTACCCAATTATTATCTGTATTCTATAATGTATTATTCACATTTTATAGTGTAATAAAACAATTAATTTGGAGAAAAACAAAAACAAAAGTAGTTCTTTTATCAAAAATATCTGTCATCTGCCATCACTCTTGGAAAATCAATGGATTCTTCATTGAACAAGTTAAGATATTTAAATATCTAGATGTTTCCTTTTGGTCCTCAGCAGTCTGTAAAGGACAACTAAAGACCACTTCTGTCTTAGCCCACAGACTTCCAAATGGCATTTTGAGTTATGCCAACTGTAATGGCAGCCAGTTATGCACCCACAACATTAAATATCTTTATTTAATTATTGGCTCTTTTAATATGGCACACAGATTTGTAGTAACCATGATTCTTCTAGAAGTAGTCCTGTATAAATCTTTAAAAGCTTTATTTTGAGTCCCCAGGTGTATTTCAGCAGACTGGGCTAATCTCTATATAGACATTTTTATTTTTATTATATAAAATAAATGAGCATTACAATTAAAAAGGTAAAAACTAATACAAATTAAAAGAAAAAGAAAAGGGAGGGAGGGAGGGAGGGAGATTTCCCTCTTCATCACAAGTATAAACAATTTTAATATATGATCACAGCTGCAAGAATGTTATATGTGCAAAGATGGAAAGACTCACAAATACCTACAGTGGAAGAGTGGATTATT